TCTCAAAAGTTGCCCTGCACAGCTAAGGACCAAAATTTGAGAAAGATCCCTCTGGTACTTCTTGAGAAATACCGATAACAAGAATTGTTTATGGACGGACGACGGACCACAGACGCAGGGTAATTTGTATAGCCCACCATCAGATGATGGTGGGCTAAAAATTGCATATTGGATTTTTGAAATCATTATTAGAATTAAGAAAATCTACAAACACTGCATTTCTTTATATTGAATTTGGAAGATCTCATTTAGAGCTGTTAAGAAAAGTGTTTTTTTTAAGTATTAGATTAAATTACAACGTTCTGAAAACTGTGTGCTGAACTTGCAAGAGTCGGCCTTGGATACATGTTTGTGACTGATAGTATTAATCATTCTAGTGAAGTATATAAGCAGCGATTATGTGATAGTTTTCAGCAAGATTGTCTAGAGAAAGTTCATTCTTCTTCTAAAGGAGTATTATATCAGCATTTAGTGGAAAGTATTAAATTGCAACCAAATCATCTAAAACATATTTCTAAGATGCGTTTATGTGCGCATGACCTGTTCATTGAACGAGGCCGTTACAGAGATATACCAAGAGAAGAAAGAACATGTATTTTATGTAACGAAAATGATATAGAAGATGAATTTTATTTTATAATTAAATGGAATCGCTATTCAGACCTCCGGTCTAAATGCATAAAGCAATATCATTTCAAAAGGCCTAGTATGTATAAATTTGTTCAATTACTCAAAATCGAAAACACAAAAGAACTTAATAATTTGGGAAAGTATTTATCACTAGCGTTTAAACGTAGATGAGATTTATTAAGAGGTCATCACTGATGATGATGTTGATGATAATGATGATGAAGAAGAAGATGATGATGTTGAGGATGATGTTTGCAACTGAGGTTAACTGTATTTTACATGCGTTTTTACCTGGGGCTAGTTACCGAGACCGAAATCTGACGATGTTAATAAGATAAAAATGTAGGTGTATCATCAGAGACGTTTATATTACATATATGTTAGATATTGGTTTCTTTATATAATATAAACGTCTCTGGTATCATACAATGTCATGTAATATAAACGTCTCTGATATCATATACGATGTCATGTAATATAAACATCTCTGTTATCATATACGATGTCATGTAATATAAATGTCTCTGGTATCATATACGATGTCATGTAATATAAACTTCTCTGGTATCATATACGATGTCATGTAATATAAACGTCTCTGGTATCATATACGATGTCATATAATATAAACGTCTCTGGTATCATACAATGTCATGTAATATAAATATCATGTAATATAAACTTCTCTGGTATCATATTCAATGTCATGTAATATAAACGTCTCTGGTATCATATACGATGTCATGTCATATAAACATCTCTGGTATCATATACAATGTCATGTAATATAAACTTCTCTGGCATCATATACGATGTCATGTAATATGAACGTCTCTGGTATCATATTAAATGTCATGTAATATAAACGTCTCTGGTATCATATACAATGTCATGTAATATAAACGTCTCTGGTATCATATACGATGTCATATAATATAAACTTCTCTGGTATCATATACAATGTCATGTAATATAAACCTCTCTGGTATCATATATGATGTCATGTAATATAAACGTCTCTGGTATCATATACGATGTCATATAATATAAACTTCTCTGGTATCATATTCAATGTCATGTAATATAAACGTCTCTGGTATCATACAATGTCATGTAATATAAACGTCTCTGTTATCATATACGATGTCATGTAATATAAACTTCTCTGGTATCATATTAAATGTCATGTAATATAAACGTCTCTGGTATCATATACGATGTCATGTAATATAAACGTATCTGGTATTATATACGATGTCAGGATTTTTGTATGAAATTTATGAATTCTAAAGTTTCGTAATAATGGTCAGGTGGGGTGATAAAACATTCACTGAATTATCCAGAATATCCACGAGAAAACACTGATATGGCAGTTTTTAACAAAATAACATCTTCAGGGGTGGCACAAAAGTTTCAGCCTAAACCTTCCGATTTATCATACATATCACCCGAGACTGCCAATACAATACCCATGTTGTTAACTGGGAAGCCTAGCTGAATTTAATATCACCGACTAGAGAGAGGCGTTTTTTTCCTAGTTTGATATTCACGCATAATTCAAAGCTTCTGTAGCAGTAAGTGGAGTTTTGGGAACCTGTTTCTATTCTGAAAATAATATGCAAATAGTAATGCTGGAGTTTGGGGTAATTACTTCAAGTAACAACTGATTGGCGAGTGGGGAAGCTGTTTAATTATTTGTCAAGATGTTGTACAAACTGATTTTAATCTTTGTTGAACGGAGTAGGCAAATGTTGTCTTAGAATGTTACACTTTCCATGTATTTCAATACACGTTAGAGAGGCCAAAATTTTATAAATTCCCTCATTTAATACAAATTCACTTGCATGATAGTGATTTCAAGTTAAATCGGGGAAAATCACCAATGAAGTGGGAAACTTTAAAGGGGCCATTTTTTATTTTCGTATGCCGATTTCAGCCGATATCTAAAGCAATATTTCAATGAAATAATATTTTAAACTGTCATATGTTATTCAATTTTGTCCGTGACAGTTCGATTGACACTAGACATTGAGGTATTATGGGCGGATTGGTCGAGTGGTTAACACTCCGGCCTTCCAAGCAGGCGGCCTGGGTGTCCCCGAAGTCGCCGTACGCATGGAATATTTAGAGAAAGGGTTTTTCTCCTGCCCACACAACTCCAACAACCCAGTTGGAGTATAAAATGGTCAGGGGTGGATGTTACGGAGCTGTGCTGTAGCATTCAAGTGAGATGGCACTATAAATGATACCGTTGGAAGCACGGTCCCACTACAAACAGAACACATTACATCTCCAGCACACACACATAAGGAGATATTAGCCAGGTGGCATAGGTCTAGCAGTTAGCGCCTGATAAGGCAGCTCCTGCAAATTCCCCAATATCGTATTGCTTAATATACATACGCTAATTGTATTGACTGTATAAAATTGTATATCTATGTACTGTAAAGCACTTTAGAGTGGTTTATGTTAGCTAGATAGGGCGCTTTATCAAATGTTGTATATTTATTTATTTTTTATTTTATTTTTATTAAACTATAATGCCCTGTGTTTTTAATTTTCAGTGGTCTACATAAGCAAATATGACAAAACCAAATTGAATGAAAGTATATATGCGTTCAATGTCGATGTGCTCCAGTACTACATCAAACTCAGAGGCAAACGTTGTTTGATACACCTTTCACTTTAAGACGTTGATATGGGTGGACTAGACTGAGTTTCCTCTAGTTGTGTTTTCTACACATTCTCATGTTCCATGTTCTGTAATACTTAATGTAGATGTAGTTTAATTGGTGTTGAACTTAAAATATGTTAATCTAGCAGCTTAAGTGTGAAGTAATAGATAAAGGATTCAGGGGAACCATCATCAATGTCAACATCTTTAATTGAACTCAACTGATTTTACAATGTGAAACCACATACTAAACAGATAAGTGCTGAGTGTGGGCACATAGCTACTGTCCTCTGTCTAGGATAAGTGCTGAGTGTGGGCACATAGATACTACCCTCTGTCTAGGATAAGTGCTGAGTGCGGGCACATAGCTACTGTCCTCTGTCTAGGATAAGTGCTGAGTGAGGGCACATAGCTACTGTCCTCTGTCTAGGATAAGTGCTGAGTGCGGGCACATAGCTACTGTCCTCTAGGATACATGCTGAGTGCGGGCACATAGCTACTGTTCTCTGTCTAGAATAAGTGCTGAGTGTGGACACAAGCTACTGTCCTGTCTAGGATACATGCTGAGTGCGGGCACATAGCTACTGTCCTCTGCCCAGGATACTTGCTGAGTGAGGGCACATAGCTACTGTCCTCTTTCTAGGATAAGTGCTGAGTGCGGGCACATAGCTACTGTCCTCTGTCTAGCATACTTGCTGAGTGCGGGCACATAGCTACTGTCCTCTGTCTAGCATAAGTGCTGAGTGTGGGCACATATATACCGTCCTCTGTCTAGGATAAGTGCTGAGTGAGGGCACATAGATACTGTCCTCTGTCTAGGATAAGTGCTGACTGCGGGCACATAGATAACGTCCTCTGTCTAGGATAAGTGCTGAGTGAGGGCACATAGATACTGTCCTCTGTCTAGGATAAGTGCTGAGTGCGGGCACATAGCTACTGTTCTCTGTCTAGGACACTTACTGAGTGAGGGTACATAGCTACTGTTCTCTGTCTAGCATACTTGCTAAGTGCGGGTACATAGCTACTGTCCTCTGTCTAGCATACTTGCTGAGTGCGGGTACATAGATACTGTTCTCTGTCTAGGATACTTGCTGAGTGCGGGCACATAGCTACTGTTCTCTGTCTAGGACACTTACTGAGTGAGGGTACATAGCTACCGTCCTCTGTCTATCATACTTGCTGAGTGCGGGTACATAGCTACTGTTCTCTGTCTAGGATAAGTGCTGAGTGCGGGTACATAGCTACTGTTCTGTGTCTAGGATACTTGCTGAGTGCGGGCACATAGCTACTGTCCTCTGTCTAGCATAAGTGCTGAGTGTGGGCACATATATACCGTCCTCTGTCTAGGATAAGTGCTGACTGCGGGCACATAGCTACTGTCCTCTGTTAAGGATAAGTGCTGACTGCGGGCACATAGCTAATGTCCACTGTTAAGGATACATGCTGAGTGCAGGCACATAGCTACTGTCCTCTGTCTAGGATACATGCTGAGTGAGGACACATAGCTACTGTCCTCTGTCTAGGATACATGCTGAGTGAGGGCACATAGCTACTATCCTCTGTCTAGGATAGGTACACTAACATGCCTGTGTAGGATTTATTTCCCGATACGTAATCCAAATGAGTGTGAGCTTTCACAACAACATTACAGGTCACTGATTCCCTAAAACAAAATTAAGAATAAGGAAGTAAACTATTCAGTTTACAGCAATTTAATACAAAATCAATGTAACATAAACAAACAGTAATCACATTCATGTGAACTTTCCATAGGGTCAATAAGGACTGCAACAGTGGCATGGTTCTACCGCTGGGACTCTTCTATAAGATCAACAATATACCATAAAAACATTTATTTGTTCAAACCTTACTCTCAACATGATTAAATATAATCTATATGTAACTACATAGCAGGTCACTTTAACTAGTAATACCAGCTACCGGGTAGTTACTACCTTTGTAACATAACAATATAATATAATAGCATATAAACAACAAATCTGCCAACTTATCGTATATAAATAGAATTTATAAATGATTGTATATAAACTTTGGAAACCGTGGTTTAGTAAAACAAATAAAGAATATGTAAAAATATCTGCCATAACATCTTATATATCATATTATGTTTGTCTCATGATTTGACAGCGACATTAAGCAAGGTTCAAACATCTATCTTCATATTCCTTTGTACAATGTAAATAAAGCAAAGAGTAAAAATCACAGACTAACCAAAATTCAAAACAATTAAAACAATTCAGAAATAATTCCAAGATATCTCTTATAATATGCAGTTACATATTTGTTTCTTTTGGTGTTTTTAACAAAGCACTGAACATTTGACTTAATTAACATAATAAAGAGAAAGGATGAAAATAGATTGTATGAAAACAGAGCAATCCATAGTCCCGACCCACACTTATGTCAAGAAGCATAGGTCACAGTGAGGTTATAGTGACCTTATTTTTGCACTCTGCCATTCCAAGATGTCCTTGTACACCAAATCTGGTTACTCCAGGTAAAATAGTATAGAAGATATGGCCCGGACAAACATTTTCAAAAGTAAAAGTCAAAGGTCAAGTCATAGGTCACAGTGACCTAGTTCTTGCACTCTGCCATCCCAAGAAGTTCTTGTACACCTAATCTAGTTACTCCAGGTGAAATAGTATAGAAGATATGTCCCGCACAAACTTCTCAGACGGAAGGCCAGACGGAGTGCAAACATATAGTTCCTCCGGGGAACCAGTGGGGGGACCAATTACTGACTGCCAAACAATAGATCGACCCCTCTTACCAGTAAAGCTCACCAGTCAGTATGGCACTCAGTCCTAAGTCTAATGTATGTGTGCTCGCTCACCAGTCAGTATGGCACCCAGTCCTAAGTCTAATGTGTATGTGTGCTTGCTCACCAGTCAGTATGGCACTCAGTCCTAAGTCTAATGTGTATGTGTGCTTGCTCACTACACAGTATGACACCCAGTCCTAAGTATAATGTGTATGTGGGCTTGCTCACCAGTCAGTATGACACCCAGTCCTAAGTCTAATGTGTACGGTATGTGTGCTTGAAATAGATCTGACAGAAATGTGTTTGTTTCATCTTTACAGCTTCAGTCTTGAGACAATTTAGGATATGTGTGAATGTAACCTTTGTCTACAAGTGAAGGACTTCAGTGAATGTGACAGAATTGATTTCATAACAATAAAGAATATCTTCCAAATAAAAAGTAGTGCAAATAATCTTTAAAATCATTTAATTCTCTAGGAATGAAGTGATCTTATCCAAATTTTCTCTGGGACATCTTTGGGCCAAAGAAACTCATTGCTGCCTCAAACAAAGGTGTGCCTCTCTGAGGCAGAGGGCTGGGCCAAAAAGGGCAAATCTTCCTAGTGGCTAAAGGTCATTGATAGTCCTTCATCCAAGCATAAATATATCAGGCGTATCAAGAAGCCTAAATGTTTGCAGGTCTCTCCATTATTAGATGTCCTTTAAAGGTTTAAAAAATTTGACCCCTGTGACCTTGATAGTGAGCAAAGGTCATTCATTCAAACAACCTTGATAGTAAAAAAAAGTTTGCCTGGCCCTTAGTGTCAGGTGATCTTACATAAATTAAAGCAACAGTTGACAATACCTCACTCGGGCCAGGTGATCTAACAAACTTCCCATGGACATTGATGATCACCTGAGCTGTCCTATCTAACTACTGATTCATTGTATCATATATATAATTATGCCATCAACATTATCTACATTTATATCATACAGAATATCTCCTGCTCATCTCCTTTCACTGAATAAAAAGCACCTGAAACTGAAATCAAGGGATATTCATGTGAATAACTTTTGTTTTAGTTTATAGTGACTGGAGGTAAGGCTGATCAAACAGGAGGCTTTCAATAAGTGGTAAATTAATTAATTAATTTGTTGACAAGCGTAGATGCATGTATTATCACACTCCGAGTGTACTTGAGGAGTATAGAGTGTCCTTATAAATAACACTCCCATAAAAGTAACAATAGAATATATATATATTATAAAACAATGTACATGTAGCTGCAATAATAACAATATGAGGACAGTGTGGATACATTATACTAGCTGTGAGTTATGGAAGGAAATTTATTATAGCATCGGGACAAAATCATCAATTTCAATGTGTTTAACTTTTCACAGTTGAACACATCCAGTTTACTATCAAATATATGTACCTAAGGGAAAAGTAGGAATAATAACTTATACTGGCTTTACTTTCAGAACCAAGCATGTTGTTTTAAAATGTTTCAAAAGAAGAGCTATGGTTATATTTCATTTTTAGATTTGATTAAACAAAACTCTATACCGGTAGGTTCAATATTATGCACCATTATCACAAACTAAAAGACAGTTTAATCTAAAACTACATATGCTCCGGGTGGTTACGAAGACACGATACAAATTGACTGGGATCCATCTCTCTCTCGCAGATCTTGTGTATGGCCATAAACATTGGGAACCTGTTGAGAAAATAAATCATATATTAGTTACATCAAAGTATCTTTATAAAGTGATCAAACTAACAACAAGAGCCCCAAATTATAGATCTTCACTACGGAAATCTCCACACCTTATCTCACAACTTACTATATAGCTGGACCAGTGTGTGTTTGGTGTGTATATGTTGTATCTGTTACTTACAGACATGTNCTATAAATAGTATACAGCGAAACCTGTCATTTATTCGTTTGGTCTGTTAAAGCTGTCCTGCATTATACTTACTGCTCAAGCATGTGTTTGGTCTCCAGGATGTGGTAGATTTCCCGAGCCACCAGGGGTCCTTGGAAACTCTGTCCGTGCAGCAGTTCCTTCTCTAGTTCCTTAACAGTCTATAATACACACACACTTAAGGTCATCTTAACAGTCTATAATACACACACACTTAAGGTCATCATAACAGTATACAATTGTTTCATGGCTATTTGAATTGAGGAACAGTCAAAACTATCATCCCAAGGAAGGGGGAAGCCCTGGGGAACTGTTTGCCCGAGGCCGCTTTCCCCAAATAGCCATGAAACAATTGTTTTATTACCAAATAAATATTAGTATCAATGATGCATGCAATGCCATTGCTTCAACACTAAGTTGCGGTCACCGAAACGCTTGAACGGAGCCCTCAAGGGGGGATTTCTGCGCATCTAATTTGCGCCGGGTAACAGTTCACTCTGACCTGGAAAACAGTTTTGACTGTTTCACCCCTACAGCCGAAATTGGACAAAAGTCAAGAAACAGTCAAAAATTACTAATTATAATATATATCAGGTCATCTTAACAGTCTATACTACACACACACTTAAGGTCATCTTAACAGTCTATAATACACACACACTTAAGGTCCCCTTAACAGTCTATAATACACAGACACTTAAGGTCATCTTAACAGTCTATACCTCACACACACTTAAGGTCATCTTAACAGTCTATAATACACAGACACACTTAAGGTCATCTTAACAGTCTATACTACACACACTTAAGGTCATCTTAACAGTCTGAAATACACACACACTTAAGGTCATCTTAATACACACACACTTAAGGTCATCTTAACAGTCTATAATACACACACACTTAAGGTCATCTTAACAGTCTTTAGTACACACACACTTCAGGTCATCCTAACAGTCTATAATACACACACACTTAAGGTCATCTTAACAGTGTATACTACACACACATTTAAGGTCATCTTAACAGTCTATAATACACACACACTTAAGGTCACCTTAATTATATTATCAATATTTTGTAATGTTGAAATGTAACAAGGAAATAACCATGTAAACAAAAATCTAATAAGACTTATTGTAGACTGTTTTAAAGGACATGACAACACTCTCTCCCAGCATACGATTCCTGCCATTATGACAGGTTATAGGTACTGTTACCTTTGAGGACATGACAACACTCTCTCCCAGCATACGATTCCTGCCACTGTGACATGTTATAGGTACTGTTACCTTTGAGGACTTGACAACACTCTCCCCCAGCATACGATTCCTGCCAACATGACATGTTATAGGTACTGTTACCTTTGAGGACATGACAACACTCTCTCCCAGCATACGATTCCTGCCATTGTGACATGTTATAGGTACTGTTACCTTTGAGGACATGACAACACTCTCTCCCAGCATACGATTCCTGCCATTATGACATGTTATAGGTACTGTTACCTTTGAGGACATGACAACACTCTCTCCCAGCATACGATTCCTGCCATTATGACATGTTATAGGTACTGTTACCTTTGAGGACATGACAACACTCTCTCCCAGCATACGATTCCTGCCATTATGACATGTTATAGGTACTGTTACCTTTGAGGACATGACAACACTCTCTCCCAGCATACGATTCCTGCCATTATGACATGTTATAGGTACTGTTACCTTTGAGGACATGACAACACTCTCTCCCAGCATACGATTCCTGCCATTATGACATGTTATAGGTACTGTTACCTTTGAGGACATGACAACACTCTCTCCCAGCATACGATTCCTGCCATTATGACATGTTATAGGTACTGTTACCTTTGAGGACATGACAACACTCTCTCCCAGCATACGATTCCTGCCATTATGACATGTTATAGGTACTGTTACCTTTGAGGACATGACAACACTCTCTCCCAGCATACGATTCCTGCCATTATGACATGTTATAGGTACTGTTACCTTTGAGGACATGACAACACTCTCTCCCAGCATACGATTCCTGCCATTATGACATGTTATAGGTACTGTTACCTTTGAGGACATGACAACACTCTCTCCCAGCATACGATTCCTGCCATTATGACATGTTATAGGTACTGTTACCTTTGAGGACATGACAACACTCTCTCCCAGCATACGATTCCTGCCATTATGACATGTTATAGGTACTGTTACCTTTGAGGACATGACAACACTCTCTCCCAGCATACGATTCCTGCCATTATGACATGTTATAGGTACTGTTACCTTTGAGGACATGACAACACTCTCTCCCAGCATACGATTCCTGCCATTATGACATGTTATAGGTACTGTTACCTTTGAGGACATGACAACACTCTCTCCCAGCATACGATTCCTGCCATTATGACATGTTATAGGTACTGTTACCTTTGAGGACATGACAACACTCTCTCCCAGCATACGATTCCTGCCATTATGACATGTTATAGGTACTGTTACCTTTGAGGACATGACAACACTCTCTCCCAGCATACGATTCCTGCCATTATGACATGTTATAGGTACTGTTACCTTTGAGGACATGACAACACTCTCTCCCAGCATACGATTCCTGCCATTATGACATGTTATAGGTACTGTTACCTTTGAGGACATGACAACACTCTCTCCCAGCATACGATTCCTGCCATTATGACATGTTATAGGTACTGTTACCTTTGAGGACATGACAACACTCTCTCCCAGCATACGATTCCTGCCATTATGACATGTTATAGGTACTGTTACCTTTGAGGACATGACAACACTCTCTCCCAGCATACGATTCCTGCCATTATGACATGTTATAGGTACTGTTACCTTTGAGGACATGACAACACTCTCTCCCAGCATACGATTCCTGCCATTATGACATGTTATAGGTACTGTTACCTTTGAGGACATGACAACACTCTCTCCCAGCATACGATTCCTGCCATTATGACATGTTATAGGTACTGTTACCTTTGAGGACATGACAACACTCTCTCCCAGCATACGATTCCTGCCATTATGACATGTTATAGGTACTGTTACCTTTGAGGACATGACAACACTCTCTCCCAGCATACGATTCCTGCCATTATGACATGTTATAGGTACTGTTACCTTTGAGGACATGACAACACTCTCTCCCAGCATACGATTCCTGCCATTATGACATGTTATAGGTACTGTTACCTTTGAGGACATGACAACACTCTCTCCCAGCATACGATTCCTGCCATTATGACATGTTATAGGTACTGTTACCTTTGAGGACATGACAACACTCTCTCCCAGCATACGATTCCTGCCATTATGACATGTTATAGGTACTGTTACCTTTGAGGACATGACAACACTCTCTCCCAGCATACGATTCCTGCCATTATGACATGTTATAGGTACTGTTACCTTTGAGGACATGACAACACTCTCTCCCAGCATACGATTCCTGCCATTATGACATGTTATAGGTACTGTTACCTTTGAGGACATGACAACACTCTCTCCCAGCATACGATTCCTGCCATTATGACATGTTATAGGTACTGTTACCTTTGAGGACTTGACAACACTCTCTCCCAGCATACGATTCCTGCCAACATGACATGTTATAGGTACTGTTACCTTTGAGGACTTGACAACACTCTCCCCCAGCATACGATTCCTGCCATTATGACATGTTATAGGTACTGTTACCTTTGAGGACATGACAACACTCTCCCTCAGCATATGATTCCTGCCATTATGACATGTTATAGGTACTGTTACCTTCCAGGACATGAAAACACTCTCCCTCAGCATACGATTCCTGCCATTATGACATGTTATAGGTACTGTTACCTTTGAGGACTTGACAACACTCTCTCCCAGCATACGATTCCTGCCAACATGACATGTTATAGGTACTGTTACCTTTGAGGACTTGACAACACTCTCTCCCAGCATACGATTCCTGCCACCGTGACATGTAGCCACCAAGTCAGCTATACCACAGCTTTCAAAAAACGTTGATACTTTGGAGCCTGAAAATGTAGAAACATTTTGGTAAAACCTTCAAGTTATAAAAAGGAATCGCTTTTGTTTAGCATTTTCTTTGGTAAGGGCTAAATGTCATGGTAACAGCTTTGACGACTTGTGGCTATGGTCATACCACCGGTAAGAAAAAACAAGAGTACCGCGGGGCGGAACAATATACGCCCGTCGAATGCCATATAGTGTTATATACTTTCTTACATTGAAATAAGATCAGCATTATTCAAAGAGTGGTTACTTGACATGCTATAAAAAATGAAGGAGAAAATCTCCAGACAAAAAAATACCAAATACTGAAATGAACAAAGGGCGAGAACTTTTGCAAAAACTGTCGAATCAAAATTCTTTTAAAGGAGACACAACTTCATATCATGATTATAAAGTATACCAAGTTTCAAAGAGATCCGTTGAAAAATGTAGGAGATTGCCTGACAAAAATCAAATATTGAAATAAACAAAGAGCAATAACCTTTGCAAAAATTGTTGAATCAGAATTCTTTTCAATGAAACACAACAACATATCATGTTTATTTAGCCTACTATGTTTCAAAGAAATCCGTCAAAAAAATGTAGATGATCTCCAGACAATTGATTCCATTAATCACCCCCCC